TTTTTTTTTTTTAAAGAAAGGGTTTTGTGCTTTAGTGCAGGCTGGCCTCGAATTTGTGGTAATCCTCTGACTGCCACCATGCCCAGCTAAAGTTTTTTGAAGTAATAGATTTGTGAAGAAAAACCCTAATCCACAAATCAAATGAGTTGACTGCAATTCAAGATGGGAGAAAAACAGTGAGCATTCAAAAAAGTTGAAGGAAGAAAAAGAATTAAAAATTAAGAATGTGCTGGGAGTGGTGGCACAAGCCTGTAACCCGCACTTGGGATGAGTTCGAGACCAACCTGGGCTACACAGTGAGTGCAGTCTGAACTACATAGCGAGACCCTGTCTCAAAAAACCAAAAAACCAAAAAACCAAAAAAAAAAAAAAAAAAAAAAAAAAAAAAAAAAAAAAAAAAAAAAAAAAAGAGTGAATATAAAAAGTAGAGGATAAACCTGAAAGTTGGATCTTTCAAAGAATTAGTGAGATCTCCAGCAAAGCTGATTTAAATTTTTTTTAAAGAGTGTAGAGTATTTACTTATTTATTCAGCAGTATTGATGGTTGAAACCTGGATTACTGCATTAAGCTATGTCCCCAGATCTTTTAAAAAAGTTTTTATTTTGAGATAAGGTCTTGCAAAGTCACTAAACTGTAAAGGCTGGACTTAAACTTGTAAAATCCCTTCCTCAGTCTCACAGAATTCTGGGATTACCAGTGTGTACCACTACACCTAGCTCAGATACTATATAAAATGTAAAGGAAAGTGTAACTACATATGTATTAGTTTTTAGTCTTAAGAGAATTCTGTTAGAATCTATGCCAATAAAAGTGAACAACTTCAGAAATATAACTCAAATAGACACAAGAGCTAGAAAACCTGGAAAACCTTTGGCCTATAGCATGTTTTTGGTTTTAGGGGGTAACAGGGATTGGACCCAGGACTTTGCAAGTACTCTTACCACCAAACTACACTGCCAGCCCTAATCTATAGTATGCTTCAAAAAGGGATGTACAATTCAGTCTTCCTCTCAACCCTGAAAGATACCTCCCCAGATTTACCTATCTTATATACTTTCAGAGACTAGAACAAGGAAAACTCCCCAATTTTTTTTTGTTTGTTTTTTGTTTTTTGAGACAGGGTCTCACTATGTAGTTGAGACTGACCTGGAACTCACTATGTAGCCCAGGCTGGTCTCGAACTCACAGCAATCCTCCTGCCTCAGCCTCCGGAGTGCTGGGATCACAGGTGTGTGCCACCATGCCCGGCTACTCCCCAATTTATTATGTAAAGTTAATATAACCTTGATATATAATCATAGGACTCTATAATGAAATTATAGATCAAAATTGATTATCAACTGTGTCAATAAAATTACTGAAAAGAATGTGCTATAGACTGCCTATTTTATTGTGTGGTGCTGGGGACTGAACCTGTTGCCTTGAGCATGCTACAAACACTACCACGAAGCTTTATTACTGTTGATTTACCCTGACACCAATCAACAGACAAACATTTTTTGGGCAATACCTTGAAATCACTTACAACACTAAAAGGAAAAAGATGAAAAAAGACCTTTCCTAGTAAAACAGATACAGTGCAAAATAAAAAGCCTTAGGACATCAGGATATTAAACCAACTAATTGCCTTGTTTGTAGCCTGTCATACTATCTGGAAAAGAAAATAATTTTCTTGCCATGATTTGCTCTTTAAAATACTCATCTGCTACCTACTGATATTTAATGACTTTTTAAATTGACTAAAATTTCATAGCTCTAACATTCAAAGGGGACATCCAGTTAAATGTGGTAGAATCAAACCCTCCTTTCTACCCCAAAGTTCCCCAAAATAACAATAAAAAGGATTGGAAGGGAAGAACTCTCAAAAACTAAGTGTGTAGAAGTGGGGTGCACAAGAGTAATACCAGCATTCTGGGAGGTGCAAGCAGGAGGATCACTAGTTCAAGCCCAGCCTGGGCAACTTAGCAAGACCTTGTCTCAAAATAAAAAAGAGCTGGGGAGGGAGATCAGCGTAAAGGCCATGGGTTCAATCACCAGTACTGTACCACAAAAACAAATAAAACCCCCAAACCACTAAGAGAGTGGGAAAGACAGCATTTTGAAGCTAGAAAACATGTCCAGCTGACTTAGCAGACCAAAAAAGCTAAAAATTCTGTAACAGTAAAAGAGGTCAAGCAGCACAGAGCTTCTAGTTAAAGAACTACAGAAAGGCTCAGAAATGAATGATCTCAGATATTGCTGAGGGCAAACCCTGAGCTGAAAACAGGTTTAACCCCCCAAAGAAAACAGGAGAGGTAACTGAGTGTCTCTATAACACCCCCATAGCTATCAACTTGAGACTATGAAGATGCCAGCAGCTGAGTGTGTCCTCATGACAGGATGACTGTTTCTCAGAGCAGTACTCTAAAATATGAGCAGGTATTCAAAAGCCATGACATTTCTGACAATTCTCATAGAGACACAAACATATAAAGAAATTTGGAAGAAAAACAGAAAAAAGTCATAAAGGGAGAAAGTACAATAAATTCTCCATGAGAAGATATTACATAAAACATAAAAGGACACTTTTAAAAGTTCAGAGATTGAAATGGACTTCTAAGATATGAGGTTTAATATCTGAATGATCCTAGAGGGTGAGAACACAGAAGAAAGGGAAGAAAAATCAAAGGACATTAAAAGTATTTTCCCCAAATGGAAGTACATGAGTTTTTAGATTGAAAAAGCCCAGCAGGTATCCAGAACAAAAGATGAAAGAGACCAACAGGATAGCACATCATTGTAAAATTTCAGAAGATAGAAATGAAGAGCAAATCCTTTAAGCTTCCAGAAAAAAAGAGGAGAAAAAAAACCCATGTAAAATGAGACTAGAATGGCTTCAGTGGTAATACTGAAACAATTTTTACTGACTTCCACAATCTATCCCCCCACTTTGTTTTGGTACCGGGGATCAAACTTGGGACCTTGCACTTGTGAGGCAGGCGGTGGAACCACTGAGCTAAATAAATCTCTGGCCCATATCCCTTTGAAGAAAGCTTTTAAAGAATTCACATCTTCAAAATGCTCCTTTGAGGTTAAGATCCAGAGAAATGATATTTTCCCAAGTAATTAGAATTCCTGCCAGCTGATCTACACCATGTTGTTACATCAACTGGCATATGTCACTTTTAAGAAACAAACTGCTGAAGTGAAATTTGGCATGCGAGGCTAGCCAACTGGTAAACTCATTGACAAAGCACAGGTGAGCTGGGGATTTGGTTCAGTGGTTCCACTGCCTGCCTGGCATGCACAAGAGCCCAAATTCAACTCCTGGTACCAAAAAAAAAAAAAAAAAACA